CACACACACACACACACACACACACACACACACAAGCTCCATGGTTCCCATGACAATAAGCGGCTGCTTCTGGACTTTCACTCTCCACTAGAACCACGGCCAGTCGGCCAGAGAGAGGATCAATAGCGGTATTGTTGCTCTCAGGGTGGCTTGTCTTTCCAGGAAGTTGCTGCTGCTGCAGGGGTCTGATCAATGACACTGACAGAGAGCGAGTCATTCATTCAGCGAGATGCAGGAAGAGGGGAATGGGGGGTCTGGAGCAGAAACCACAGTGAGAGCGTGCACCGACAAATGTATACAGAAGGCTTTGTGCAAGACTGTAATTCACAATGTATACCTTATCACACCATCGAGAGAGAGAGAGAGAGAGAGAGAGAGAGAGAGAGAGAGAGAGAGAGAGAGATATGAAGACTGAAGTTGACTGTCCATTTAGTTAAAGTCACTGAAAACACTGTGCAACAGCTTCACATTCTACCAGAAAACATTTCAGGTCTATACATTTTTGTTCTCATGATCTGCTTCCCTCTCTTCGTGCCACAGCTATAATGAGCACATGAAGATTTCTGCGTTGTACGGACACAGGAACATTCTCATACGCAGTGACTTCAACACCAACAGGATGTGATTAGATGTATTTTCCGTCTCACAAAGGGAACTTCCCTGCTCACTGGCATAACTCTGATCAAACACAGAGCCACACAGGTGGGACCAGTAACGGATGGCTGTCACAAGTCAACTTGTCACCTGGTTTGGAGCAAACGCACACACTTCCTGCTTCTCCTTCCCTCCAGGTGTGCCTGCTAGTGAATGCTTGTAAAGCAAAGTGGAGACTGACTGATCAACCACTGAAATCAAAGCTAGAGGCCAGAAAGGGAGCCAACTGCAGCCAGTGTGACAAAAGAAAAGTGAACCTTTCAGTATGACCAGAGTGCAACAGGAGAAGCATGCAGCGTGGGCTGTTGTATGGATGTCTGCAGACGTGTAGGGACGAGGCTTCCCACCAACTCTCCACCCAGTCTGAGGTGGGCTTGAGGGGAAGTGTACAGTCATGGAGAAGTAGACGGAGGATTGTGAGAAGAAGAAAAGGGAGAAATATTGGTACTCTCATTTCTTGTTCTACCTTGTGGGGCTTTGTTTGGATTAATAATAATTGGAACGCTGTTTTCAAATTTTCAATTTTCAAAAAAATGCAGATGTTCTTTGCAAATGCAGCTGATCATTTAGAATCAGCTAGACTGAAGTAAATCAAAGGCTTCACTGACTCTCAGAGAGTAAAGGGCAAAGTGGCTTAATACTGAGTATGTATGGGAATGAACAGAGAGTTACGGTTCCAGGAATGGGACAGCAATGGGTTGCCAAATTGTTGTTGAAATTTTGCAAATGCAATTGGAAAAGTTCATATTATAGGAAGCAATTGATGTGATTCTTTAGTTTGCTGGTTTTTCATTGATGTGAAGAGCAGAGCAGTACTTACGCTGACTTTGAATGCCTGGACTGTGTTGTCCAGCAGCAGTACGTTGCACACAACCTGTGTGTGCTGCCTGTCTCGCTCCAGCTCCGTCGCCCGGACATTGTAGGATCTGCCAGCAGGCAAGCGGAAGCGCGCGCTCATCACGCTCCTACCAGGGTCTGCAACGCCAAAACACAGCAGAGGAGAGAGCCATGAGCACGAGAAACAAGAGGTGAAAAAATGGGATGTCATTACGGTACGGTCTGTGAAGTCTGTCAAAACGTCAGATCATCTTCAATGCATACATACGATGGCACTTCATGTGTGCTTCAGCTAACAACAGCCCTTTGGTGGAGGCTCAGTCCGTCCACAAAAGGGGAAACAAGCTTATATAGAGTATGTCATGTTGTACTTCTCTCCCTAAAGCCTTCGTGAAGGCAGCCACGCAGCAACACAAGCCTGTACAAGCACAGTGAACAAGCAGAGCGTGAGTGCTTCATGACAAAAGAATGTCAATGAGTAGGCAAGGAGCAGCTTCTCCAGCAGAGGATGGAGACAGTGCACAGCAGCCCAGCCCACCACGAACACACTCACAAGTTACTGGAAGCACTATGAGGATGTTTGCAGCTCGGTGTTTCTACTCAAAATGTGGTTCTATTTCATATCTTCAGCAGTGAGCAATATTGCACACAAGACAACAATCAGGATATCCAGTCCTTCAGCTGCCTGGTGCATGCGGCGGGTGCATGCGACGGGTGCAGTGCTTTAGTCTGATCATTCCTTCATCAACAAGCCTGCTTGAGATAATTGCTTAGTAAACGACGGCGGTGCAAACAGTTGTTGATGATGCCTCGTTTGCTCATCAGTAGGAATAAACAACAGTAATTCAATCAAGACGTCTCCATTCAGCACACAACGAGCTCCTTATTGGTGAAGCCACATCTGACTGCTTCTCTCATCGTCCCAGATTGCCAACTGATCCAATGTGGCTTCAATCCAAGCTTACAAAGAAGAATTCTTTTCTGACAGGAAACGTATGAAGTTCAACTGGACCTAAGCTACTGCAGCTCCCCAACGCTGGCCTGTCACACACATGCTGAGGTTTGGACTCTGCACATTAACATCTACAGGGCTCCACACCTAGTCTCACCTCCCACCCTGTCACAGGCAAAACACACAACTTGCTGAACATTCTCTTATCTTATCAACACCACAACTCACCGATGGTCCCTGAACGCCACACATAACCCTGTCATAACACGGTCTGATGTTTTGTTCCCAGATTGAACAAATAAGACCTAACATGCGACTTGAGGAGCTTCAGAGATGGCTGTAGGCAGACTGTGCTACCTTAGGTCATGGCTGGCCAGTCTGTCAGCCAGAGCTAACCAGCTACAAGCTATGAGAGTAGCATCAGAGCTTCTCTTCTGCTAGAAAGAAATCAACCAGGCCTATTTCCAAAAACGTCTGCCTATTCCTTTTCAATTATGTGTGGCCAGTTCAGTGACCATTCAAAAGCTGCCACAGTCTTCTGTCTGTCTGTCTGTGTCACTGATTCCTACATACAAACAGAGCGACCATGTTTCCACTTGTTCTAATTTGTTGGCTATCATATGCCACTGCAGTGGGTCTGTGCCTTTCCTGTCTGCCTCCTTCTTTGTTATTCTCGGCTGATCTGCCATGACAGGAGACATAATAACCCCACAAGGGTCATGGCCCTGTCTCCAAGAGATGCTGTATCTGTACCGATGGCTCTGAGTGAGCACATTTGTGTTTGTATATAGCATATATGGAGGGCTGTGTGTGTCTGAGCTGCTTGTCAGAACACATCAGCACAAAGCCCATGACCACTGGCAGATGGTGTGCACTTTGTGTATGTACACAAACACATACACAATCTATATGAAGAGCAACAACACAGCCCACCCCCTCACTTCCACACATCCAAGCGCTACACAGTGCACAGACTGTACGTTTAATATGCACCGTCTATAGCTTCTTGTCCGTGTTGTGTGGATGCTGTAACTGCACCTGTGGTCAGATAGCACCACTCTGTCAACGGGCCTCCTTAAGAGCTTAAGGCCACACGCCTGCTCAACTTAGAGCAGCTCCTGAAGTAGATTAAAACATGAATAAAAACAATGCTCTGGCTGTACAACGAACAGAGGACCAACAAGGTATGTTAAGTCTGAATATTTTCTAGTTTCTTTACTCCGTTTATCTGTGGACAATCCAAGACATCTGAGGCTGTTGTGTAAACACTGATTTTTAAACATTTTCTAGACCAAACTAACCCGATAAACAGTTCATTTAAGAATGACAATAACTGTTGAAAATACAATAAGAAAACTGTTCATCTTCTGAGGTATGTTTTGAATGCTGTTTGTCTGTCTGTGTCTCGTCAGGACTACGCTGACACTACAAGCCAGATTTCCTAAAACCTGGTGGAGTGATGGAGGCCGTTTGCTGCCTGTCACTCCACAACTCTCTTTCCTGTATATCCTGTCTGCTGGGAATACGTACAACCTTGATGCCGATCCAGGTCACGTTCTCAGCAATAATAAAGGCTGCAAGATTAGACTGGGCATTGGGCACTGGACCTGGTGTACGGCATGTTCTCCAGGTCTCCTTGTAGCCAACATGAGGAACGTCAGCCCACATATCGATCATGTATTTCTGAAGGAGCACCCCACTGGTTGTACAACAAGCGAGGGCAACTTCACAGTCTGTTGAAAGGTTCTCTCATGTCATCTTTGGCTCTTGAGTAGCCTGAAAAAAGTAATCCCCCACGATGTCGCCAGGGTCATCTCCGTCTCTGCTGACAGATTACCATGTTGCTTAAGGACAGTGCATCATGGCCGTGGCACCCAACTGCCAACACTTATCTCAGAAGAAATTCCAACACTGCTATGAAATACAGTATTCTCCTGGACAGTAAAGGAGCCATGGAGTACAGTACAGCACAGTGATCGTTGATGCCACTATCGAGGAACTAAACTGATGGGTGAGAGGAATCTGTCTGATTTAGATGAGCAGGTGACAGAGCTTACCACAGCTCGAACAACAAGGAGAAAACCATGGCATGTGTTACAACACGAGGGCATAAAATGTGCAAGCTGTGAAGCTGGTCAGCTGAAAGCCAACAGAAGCGCACGTACACAGTGAGCCAGACTGGCATAAGTATATAAACTAAGTCACAAATACATGTAAATGCACCAAGACACAGGCAAGCATGCGCACTAATGCCAGCCGCAGCCCTGTCAGCTTGGACCCAGAGTGAGTGGACCAAGAAGATGAGCAGAAACGGATGCAGAGATGAAGCCATGCAGAAGAGGACAGAGAATGCACTCCGATCACTGGCTCACACGGAGGGCGAGCTGTGGGATACGTAGATGATGAGCTCTGACACACACTCTCCACAGGCTGCAGGCCGTCCTGCGCTATCCAACGCTCTCCTGCCATCCAGCTGAAGACAACTGAAAGACTCCTGACTTCTGCGCCGGATCTTCTGTGTAGTTTGCAGCAAATTAATTGTATATTTTCCCTAATGACACCTGCGTTTGTCACTTTAAATTGTTTGAATTCTTTCAACAACAAAAAAAGGCTCATGCATGAACCGCTTTTGAAAGAAACGACAGTCTGCCCAAAAATATTGTCACGATCAAGATTTTCTTGAATTTTGCAAAACATACCGATGCTTGATTTTGTCCTAAGAGCCCAGGCTGCTACCAAGGCTGCAGCAAACTAATGCATTACAACCCAGTGAGCATGTTCTCCCTGATGTCCTTTGTTCTAGTGGGTTTCTATAGCAGCAGCTTTACAGTAGGGTCATGTGTGTCCTGCTCTTTTCTTCCAGAGACGAATCTCGTTGTCTTGTCTATTCTCATGTTTGGTCTTTTTCTACTCTATCCTTCACTGTCCTGCTCTGCTGTACCATTTTCAAGTCTACTCCGTTCTCCTCCCCATGTTCTATAATTTTCTGCTCTGCTGTGCTCGTTTCAGTTTTGCTCTGCTGAGCTGGACAGGACAGCCACACTCCCCTGAGAGAAGCCTCCGGAGCTCCGGAAGCACGCTACCATTATTGCTTCCTGCAGTCAGCAGAGCTTACAAACAGGCAGGAGTGTGTTTATGGCTGTGTGACCCTAACTCTCCCCTCACTGGTGGGCTCCTCTGGCTCTCTGAGCTTATTGCAAACACAGACGCTCCTGCAGCCTTCCTGTCTATACACAGGGATACACGCCTTTCATCCAAACACATTAACATGCACACACAAACACAGACTCACGTGTTATTCAACCAAGTTAAATAAGTTGAGTGTAGCTCTGCTGCACGAGGATCCACAGACCTTCATACGCACCAACACAGAGGCACAAGAACAGAACTTTTCCAAACATTTCCTACTGAACCGTGGTTCTCCCCAAAGCTGGTATTTATGCTAAAAAGTTAGCACCCTTCCCAGTTCAGTGCTATGGCTGACTATTGAACTTCATTTGCCCCATACATTTCTATTTATACCCCCAATTTCTTCAAAGAAACTCAAAAACATGCTACGTATTGTTGTTGTTGTTTTTTTGTCCCTTTGTGTTGCTTCGGTACAACTGAAATCAGAAGCTTGCAGTTAGGAATCCCACAGGAGCTGTACATAACCGCTCCAGCGTTTCATAAAGCATAAAGTAGGCCACAGACAAACAGGTGGTCAATTACACGTGTGCGCTACTGTGTGTACGTCCGTGTATGGTGTGCATTTGCAGACAGCTTGTGAATGCTGCTTTCATAATAAATGATCGGAAAAAAACGACATTAAAGTCCTCATAGATCATTTAAACAGGACCGTGTCCTGCACACAGAGTGGGAATGGGAGCAAGTCAGACCTGACCCAATGTCACACTTCAGTCCTTTAGTGTTTTTTTTAAAAACAAAGCGCTGTCCTCGGTGGCAACCCGTCAAAGCCAAAGCACTTCTAAAACATGTCACATTTTTACTGAGGGCTAATTTTTCACTGCATTTAAAAAGGTACCTGCTTTTCTCTGCTCTGCATAAACACAGCCTGCAGTTCAGCTGAAAGCCAAACGCTGCTGTCACATGAATGTTGTGCTGCTCAGTCATTAATGTAGAGTGGCTCGAATTCGTTGCTTTTACAGAATCTGGTTAATATAAATGGTTCCTTCTTGGCCAAGGT